CCTAAATATTGTAAGGGGTGGTCTTAAAATAACTAGACATCCCTATTCAATATTTTTCGAATAAATAGATATTATATCCAGCGATCACCCTAAAAATCGAATAGATTCATTAATTTTGAATAAAAGGTTGAGGTTTGTTCCTAAGTTTAAATTGCCAAGGACAAGTTGTTTGATTAACGTCGAAGGCTTGGTCCATGTTCTTTACATCAAGCAACGTCCTTATTCTTTTAATAATAATTTGACTAATTTGTCACCTTTAATCTTTTCTTTTTTACTAATTGATTATTTTTTTAGGATGACAATATTTCATTATTTCGATTAAAACATAAGAAATAATCGCATTAATTTTGATTGGGGGTTAGTTTCTTCTTTAATTGAAATATACAAATATTGTGCATCTCTTTTAAAATTTTAAAATATTTTTATAAGTTTTTAGGGAATAAAAGGATCATTAATTAAATAAATATTTGAATTTCTTAAATTTTGATATAGGGATAAATTAATAATTGGACGTACCAATTTGGGCGCTATGGGGGTGTTAATCCTTCCCCAATCGTAATCGACTCTCGAACCCAAAATATCTTAATCGCATACCAAATTGCATCTTTTTAAATTTTTTATTTAAAAAAACGTATCCCGGGTTTTCAACCTACCTAACCCTAAAGATTGATGGCAACTGCAAACATTTTAAAACTTTTCTACAAATTCGATTTTTTATCTCGATTTTTGCAACATATTGAAAAAAGGTCGTCGCGACAAGATAATATCATGTCCATTTGTTAATAAAACATATTAAATTAGAATCATTTTTTTCTCACCAATATAAAATTTATAACTTGGGCAATTTATATCTGAAATTATCTATAATTTAAAATGTAACATCAAATAAAATACTTTGGACCATTCATGCCCTAAAATTATTCATAAAACCTTTATATAAATATAATGGAAATATTCCAAAATCATAATTAAATCATACTTTAAAAAAATAAATCATATGAGAAAAATTAAATAAATAAACTGCACCCAGCTTTGCCTCACTACTGAACCTTTATATAATATTCTTTTACTCACATACTTACCCTTTTCTTTTGAGTCGATCGGATCGCTAGATTTATTGTGGTTTGACAACATCATCATAATAACACAAATATTCAAACCATATGTAAGTATTATACTAACATAATCTAAACTTAAAATATAAAAATCTATAAAATAAAACCGATACTTAAATCGACATCAAACTAAATCACATTTTCACCCCAAATTTAAACTTCCCAAACTAATCCTTCAATTTCATAAATATTTATTTTTTGTCATCAACTCTTCAACCTTTACCAACTTTACATTCAAAACACCATTTATGAATTCTTTTTATAATTAATATAAACTTTTTCCATTTGATTCATAATGGTCCTTCACCATTATGATCACTTCACATTAATTACTAAAAATTCCAGCACCTTAATAATATACTCAAACCAATACTTCAACATTTAAGACCTTGTAATTTCATCCTTATTTATTACTATCACTTATTTCAATCACTATCTTAACGATTCTTACAAATTAATCCTAAACATACACTTAAATTGAAATTTAATATCCAAGTAATAAATTTGCAGCATTGTAGTATTATACCCACATGATACTTAATAAACTTGCAATCAAGTCCCTAGATATTAAGACCATTTGAATTCCACCTTCAAAAATTCACCAAGTTTACACTTTTGTACCAAATCACCACTCTAACTTAAAATTCAGCATTCCACAATTAATATTCAACATTGAATAACCCAATTTACACATTCATACATTAATATTTTGCAATTCTCAAAACTTGTAAAATAACCCTTTTTCTATTTCAAGCTTCCAAGTTGATCCAAATCAATCTCGAAAGCATGTAGAATAGTTCTAATATCAATTCTAGACTATAGGAAATTTTTCAACATTTTCCCTTAATTTTTTTCCCTATGGCTGAATACTACAGATACTTATACACTTGATTTTAATCATCACTCGTACTTGAAAATTAATCCACAACATCAAAAATATAATAATCCTTCATCAAATCTTCAAAATCAACAAACCATTCATAAACCCAAATTTCCAATCTCATCGTAAAAGCATGTTCACCATGTAATGTTTATACCAATTGATAGAGAATTTCAAGATGATTAATTTTGTATCTAATAACTTAATCCAAAACCATGGAAGCTTGAAAATCAAATTAAAAAGCCCCCTTACCTTCAATGGAAGTCATGGCTGGTTGAGGAAGAAGAATATGAAATTTTGATGATTTCCCCCCACTTATCACTTAATACACATGACTCTGCCAATAGAAATGTAAATTTCACCCCACTTCAGTAAATTATTTTTCTCTTCCCCCATTTCAACTATTTTTTTCAACACCCCTCTGAGAGTCATTTTTCCTAAACAAATATTCTCAAAAGTCTCAACTACCTTATTTTTCTCATGCAAATCATATATTTCATCAATTACAACTTACAAGGCAGATAAATGATAAGTTGTGTCTACATCAAATCAATTCAATAACAAATCATATCATTTATAGATTGGGTCAATTAACATGTCAATCAAGAATAGGTTGGATCAATTACAAGTCCGATAAAATTATATCTCAGTAGTAAAGTTATATAAATTTTTTTATCAAGTTAATTTTTAGTTCTAATTCATATCAAGTCCAATGTAAATCAGATTTAATTATCACATTATCAAGTTTAATTTAAATTTAAACCGTTTTCAAATTGTGTGCAAGTCAAATTTAGATCTAGAACAATCAGGTTCAAATCATATTCATGTCAACACAATTCGAACTTAAATTGATTTTTAATTTTCGTCACCTTGTATTACAAACAATTTAAATTCAAATAGATTTTAATCAATTTTTCAGAATTGATTTTTTACACCTCTAGACGCAGCTTTACTATTCATGATAAAAATGTATCAATCCAGAAATAAATACGAAGATGATGTTAATTAGGGAGATTTTTCTTAGGTGTTAAAAAGGTCATTGATTGCCCCACCCCGCATTTTTTCCTCTCTAAAGTCCTAACGGCTGACGTCATCAGTCACCGTTAAATCCTAAATTGCCAAATGTGCTTTAACGCTAGTCCGTAACGCCGTTGATTCCGCGCCTTTCCGTGCTTTCCCTTGCTGCACTTTATATTTAATTACTACGTTTTAAGAACCTTTAATTTCGAGGGATTATTTTTACTTTTTAACTCGGATTCTGAGAAAATTAAAACTTTCCCGAGAAAAGCACAATTGCTCTACTTTAATGGTAAGTATTAAGTGCCAATGTTTTATTTTTTTTCTTCTAGTGTGTTGCATTCAAGCATTTATTAAATTTTTATGCTCTGGGTTTTTTATTTTCTGAAAAAATTGACTGTTTGATGGATGAAGTCTATTTCCGTTTCTTTCTTTCGTTATTATTTTCCCTCGGGTCTGTTTGGCTTCTGAGAAAGTTAAAGTGGAAAAAGGAAGTTTTCAGGAATTGTCATCTCGAGTTCTGTTTTTAACATTAAAATATTTTCTTCTGATTTTGTTTTTGTTAAGTCAATCATCAACAGATTGATTTCAACTCTATTCTTTTATATTTACGTCAGGTTTTTTCCTTCATAATACTGAGTTTTTATTTTTATTTGATGATCACTACGTAAACATGTTTATTTAATAATATTAAATACAGTCCTTTTGCAGGAAACTGAAATTTTCTTAGCTAAGATTGTTTTAAAATTTTGCTGTCTTGCTTGGCTTTTCCAACTAAAATGAATCACAAAAATGAACATGTCCTTTCAAGGTTTTACTAATTTAATATTGTCAATGTGTTTATATTATCTGTATCATCTTTTTTCTTTTTCTTTTCTTTTCATGATTGACATCTCAATGTTGCATATGCTTTCTTTTTTTCATCTCACTTATATGAACATGTCGATTTATGAAACACATTTTTATATATAGTATTTTAAATATGATCACGACATAAAAAGATGACAGAAATGATACAGATAGCTGATTTTTCAGTAGTATCTCTAGTGATATTGATGATGGTTTTCCAGTGCTATGTTCTTTACCTTTTTTTACGACCCACTTTTATTATTTATTTATAGATCTTTTACAGGTTCTTTGAGGTCCATTTTTTGAAGATTGTTATGTTTTAAAAGGGATTGGGATTCATTCCATTTTCATAAGTTGTTTCTTGTTGATGATATATAGAGATGAAGAAGCTTTTATTCTTCAAATCGTCCTCTTCTCGTGGTGGTCGCGACAATGGTGTTCTTTCGGCTTCCACAGATACCCAAGTTTACTGGGGAAACACGTCTGGAAGTTGGTCAGGTGATCAACTTCGTCACATGGCTGACGGAAGTCGAAAACAAATATCCGATAATGGTTCATGTCTTACTTGTAGTGGTTCGTTGTCCAACAAAATTGTTCTTTCCCACAGCTGCAGTACGATCACCATGATTCGGGATGCAGGGGTCGGACTCCGGAGAAGAAATCGAAGGCTAAACAATGTGATACGACAACTATTGGCTTTGACAGGCCTTGTTCTTCTGGTTCTTCAAGGCTGCACCATGATTCATCTGGGAGTTCATCTTGCTCTAGCTATGTGTCGAGCCAAGTTATCGACTGCTATGTAAATAGAGAGCAGCTTCTGGAAATTAGCAAGTCGAGGAACAGTTTGAATCGTGGAACTGGTGGTCGGATGCATCCTCCGCGAGCTCGATATACGGCCCCTTCATCTCCAACGCATAGTGTCAAAGAGAGAAACAAATCTCATTCAGTTAGGGATTGTAAGGTTATAAGTCTTCACTTTCCATCTGGAGACTGGATGGAAAAGGAATTTGGAGTCACCACGGATGGTTGCGAAGAATGTGATCGAGAGGCTTTCACAAACTTATGTTGCCCCAAGTTCAAGTTCAAAGGGTTCTGAATGTCATATTCCGATCACAAATGAAAATGTAAATGGTGGATACATGAGTAGATGTCCTGAGTCCAAATTGGAAATGGACGAGACTTACAAAAATTGTTCCTTTGGGGGAAACTCTGATGGTTCTAACTCTTCTGAAAAAGAAGAGAATTCAGATGTCGAATTACAAAGACGATTGAAAGAAGCCGAGGAAAGAGTCTTGCTTCTTTCTGAATCTCATGAGCAGGAAAGCTTTATTTCTAATGGTAGGTCGATGTTTCATCGCTTGTTCACTCTGTTCGGTGCCTGAAAGAGGAGAAAACAAAGCTAGCCCTTGAGGTTTCAGATCTTCTAAGGTTTAGAATTTCCGAGAGAGCGAGTTCTAGGGACGAACTAAGAATCGCTAGGGCAGAAATGGAGTCACAAATTGAAAAACTAGCAAAGGAAAAGCATGAGACACAGTTGGTATTTGAAAAGGAGATCAATAGAAGGTCATGTTATTGGTCGGTTAAGCTTGAAAAGTATCGTTTAGAAGAGAAAAGGCTCTGTGACCGAGTTCAAGAGTTAGTAGAGCAAAACGTTTCACTTCAGAGAGAAGTCAATTCCTTCAATGACAAGGAAACTGAAAACAGAAGCCTTACGAAGTACTCGGAACAACAACTTAAGGAGTTGACAATAATGATCGAAAAGTTGAACAATGAGAATCGAGATCTAAGCCGAAGTCTCTCACAAGAGAGGTATAGAGCAGCAGTTGAAGATGTAGCTTGCGTTAGAATAAACTTGGAAGAGAAAGAGGAGTGCAAGGAGTTGCAGAGGTCTGTTACCAGACTACTCCGAACATGTACTGAACAAGAGAAAACAATCGAATTGCTGCGAGACGGATACAGTAAGGAGACTGAGAAGAAACAATCCCCAGAAAATAATAAACAGAAAGTGAAAAAATTACAAATGGAGCAAATGAGGTTAACTGGAGTAGAATTGGCACTAAGAAAGGAAGTAGAGTCTTATAGACTCGAAGCTTACTCTCTTCGACACGAGAATATTGATTTATCGAATCGATTAAGAGGTAGCAGGAATGACACTATCAGATTAACCTTCAAGCTCGATAATGAACTGCAGGATCGTGTATGGAGTTTGCAGAATCGAGGACTGTCTATGCTTAATGAGATGATTGGTGTGTCTTCTAAGTTAATTCTTTTCATCAAAGGAAAAACTAATCAGCTTCGAGAAACTCAACCAGTTTTAGATAGTCAATTTGTTATTGAATCTGATTTGAAAATTGAAGGCTTTAAACATGGATTTGAAAGCCTAACGAGGAGTTTGCGAACAATATCCGGTTTGTTCCACGAGAAATCCAGTTTGGTTGCTTCGGATTCCCACTTGGCATCCATCGATCCTACCATGTCAACCAAACTCAACAATCAACCTTCAGAGGTAAGGGATTCCCCCTCCCTCCCCCCCTGAAATCTACAGTTTATTTCATAAAAAAGCAAACCGAATCTGTGTTTATCACATGAACCAGAACACAATCGAATTTGATAAAATACAAATTGAAATCTTCCATTGGAATCGCTTTTTTAGGGTTTTCTTGGTTATTTTCTCTGCTCTAAATCTCATACAAACACTCACTTTACACTTTTCCAGGAGATTATAAGAAGTGAGCTTAAAGCAGAAACTTTGGTGACAAGTTTATTGAAGGAAAGGCTATACTCAAAAGAGGTTGAAATAGAACAGTTACAGGCTGAGCTTGCAGCAGCATTGAGAGGTAGTGAAATACTAAGATGTGAAGTACAAAATTCAGTTGACAACATTTCATGTTTCACCCACAGATCGAAGGATCTTCAACTTCAGGTAACTCTTGGGGTAAAGTACATAAATGGTCTCCGATTATAGGACGTTGCTTTGTTGAGTCTCCGATTATTAAAAGTTACAAAATAATCCCCTATTATATGACGCTGCTCTCTTGAGTCCCTCGACTATTAAAAGTTATAAAATGGTTATTCGACTATTCATATATTCAAAACTCGTCCTTTTTTGTTAAAAGCTTAATAGTTGTCTGAGCCGTTTGAGTTATATAGTCGTTTGTGATTCTAGGATCTGATTTAATCATATCTCAGACAGCATGTTAACATCCACATTAGACGACCATCAAATTTTGTAATGGAAAAGGATGAGTTTGAAACATATGAATAGTCATGTGATTATTTTGTAACTTTTAATAGTCGGGGATTCAACATAGAAGTGACTTATTGTTAAAAGATCATTTTGTAACTTTTAGTAATCGAATGTATCAATAAAACACCACCCTATAATCAGGGACCATTTATGTACTTTAGCCTAACTCTTGATGTTAAATCTATGCATCAACAAAAAGCTTTCTTCCTTCTCTGTAAATACTTGGTATCTATGTTAACTGGATTCGTATTTAATGTGTATTGAATATAGATAACTACTTAATTTTTTCCCATTTTCCCCGTAAAGCTACTAACTCTGCATTTTTCTCATGTATCCATGCCCAATTTTTGTATTCTACACTAATTGGAGAATGAAAATAATGACATGACCCTTTAAATATGTGAAGAACTTGCCGACCCTTATTCTTGAGTCCAGAGAACAATATCTAGGGTGAACTTAAAGTCACCATGTAACACATTACACCTTCAATTCTGTACATTGATCTCTTTGTTGTTACCATTGGTATTATTTTTCACAAGAGATTTCATCATTTTTTGATTGATGAAATGTGTCGAAATCTTAAACAGGTAACAAAAGAAGATGACAACATAAGACGTCTTGAGAGCGAGTTACAAGAATCGACGAAGGAAGTTATCATGTTGAAGGGTATTTTGGTTAAGGTTTCCCAGGAGAGAGATCTGACGTTGGAAGAAGTGAAGCAATATAATGAGAAGAACGTGGTTTTACATTCAGAGACTAATGCATTGAGAAAGAGAATGGAAGGTTTGGATGAAGATATACTTTTGAAAGAAGGTTGAAGATACTAACTTTTTTATCTATTTTTATTTATTTATTTATTATTATTATTATTATAATTATTATTATTATTATTATTATTATTATATATATTATTATTATTATTATTTAAAAAAATAATATATATAATAATAATAATAATAAAAATTACAAGCCCAAAATCGAAGGCCCAATCAACCGGCCCAGACCAAAATGAAACCCTAAACATTTAGGGTTTCAGCTAGGGTTTCTAACCCTAGCGCCGCAGCCGCCTCTCCAGCTGCCAGAGACCGTTGCCGACGGTCAGCTTCCAGATGCTCGAACCCACTTCAGTCACTACGCCGCCGCCTCATTGAAGACTCCAGAAGCTTTGCTGCTTCAACACCCGCCGCCCACATCGCAAGCTCTATGGGGTGAGTCACCACATAGCTCGGTGACTCACCGAACTCCACTCTTAAGATCGGTCCGAGACAAGCGTCGGTGATGGCTATAAAGCCATCACCCAACCTGCAAAGAAAAACCGACGACAACCAGCAAAAAACAGAGAACAAAAAAAAAGGACAGAAAGCAAATCACTAAAACAGCAAGGAAAGGAACGAGAGAAACTTACAGTGGAAGACAAAGCCTTGATCGGAGTCACCACCGGCCTCCAAACGTCACACAAAAACCTTCAAAAACTGAAGGTATTTTCTTAGATTTACTCCGATCGGGAGCTATTTAAAAGAAAGGAACACCGGAACCGTCATTAGGACGGTCCGATCTATATTGTGGTGTGAAAATAAATTTTTTCGGCCACTGCATTCGGTAGCCGGCGGTGGGAATTACGGCGGCAGACGGCTGCCGTCCAGTAGCCGGCTTCCTTCCGATGAGGGAAGCTAGAGAGAGGGGAGAGCATTATCATTCTCTCTCAGTTAGAGAGAGAATGATAAATTGAAATATGAGAGGCTGGCCCTTCGGGCCAGTCGTTTCGGGCTTTAAATAGCCCTTCCCGAATGACGTCGTTTTGGGGAGGGCTATTTGTGTAATTAACTAAAGGTTAAATCTCGTCCGCAATCCCTTAGATTTGTAATCCTTACATTTTAGTCACTAAATCGAATTTATAATCCTTTTAATTTGGTCTCTAAATTTTATTTATTTATATTTTAGCCTTTAACCGTATTTATAAATATTTAGGATAAATATCATATTTAGTTCCCTAATTTTATTAACTAATATTTTAACCCCAAATCATATGTTTTAATTTATTTTAATCTGATATTCGAATTTTATATAATTTTAGTTTAGTCACTAAATTAATAAATAAGAAAAATGGCATGTTTAATCCCTATAATTTTAAATAATTAATTAAATTAAGTATTTAATTTTATTAGATTATAATTTAGTAATTAATTTTAAATATTTTCATTGCTTTTAAATATATAGTTCTAATCGTATTTTTATTATTGTTCATTTATGTTTTAATTTTACTTATATATTTAAATATTATTTTTATTATTATTATATAGTCATAAATATATATAATAAATAATAATTTATATTAAATCTTAATTTGATTTTATATAAATTATTTTTATTTTAATATTTATTTATTTTTCAATATCAAAGAAAAGGGCAGTCTTAATACAACTGGATGTCCTATTCTGGTATTTTAAAATTAAATATTATAAAAAAATTTAATTATTATAATATTTATTAATATCGAAGAAAAGAGCTGTCTTAAGGTACCTAGAAGTCATTTTCTGATATTTTTAAATAAATAAATATTTTATTTATAAATATATAAATTAATATTTTTTTATATAATTATAATTTTGAAATAGTAGGATTATAAATTAAATATATTTTGAATTTTTAAATTTCTAATAATAGAGACAATTTATAATTAAAAAGTATCAATTTTGGGCGTTGTAGGGGTGCTAATCCTTCCCTAAACGTAACCGACTACGAATCCCTTTATATTTCTAAAAAGAATGAATTTTTGGTTAAAACGCAGACCAGTTTATCTTTTAACTGATGTTTTCTTAAAAACTCTTTTAAAAGATAATTTTTTAGGTATTCGACCTACCTGACCCAAAAGGCCGATGGCGACTCCCAAATTATTTTAAAAAATCATCTATTCACATCACTTTTCCCGCCAAGTAAAAAATTCGTGCCCGGGCGAAAATCGGTTACGACAAAGGTCAAATTACAATTAGATGATTGAAACGGAATCAAAATAATAATTGGATTATTGAAACAAAATCAAAGTAATAGTTGGATGACTATGTACATAGTTTAACCAAAGAAATTATAAATGCTTTTTTTCTAAAATCTGAGCCTGAATGAATGGGAAAACTACCGAGATAACGCATGTGGGAATGTTTAATTCCCAAAATAATGAACTCATTCGATTATTTCCCCAAATGAGATGTTTGCTATAGAAAAAATGGAAAGCATGGGATCTCTCGTCGTCTTTAGTGTGTTGCAATCGTTGAAGGGATATCCCAGCATCTTCATCTTTGCTGCATGTGGGAGTTGATGCTGTTGAAGCTGGGGGCCTGAACGTGAGCAATTGTTTCATGTTGGACCTGCTGCTGCTGAAGCTGGGGGGATTGGACGTGAGCAGAGAAGGCGCAGGAATCTTGGCATGCATGCAATGGGATCTCTCGACGTCTTCTTCATCTTGCATGTGAGATGTCTCGGCTTGCATGTGAGATGTCTCGGCGTCTTGTTCTCCTGCATGCGAAAGAAATCTTGCATGCATGCTTTCTCCTAGGATCTCTCGGCGTCTTCTTCATCGTAGGGGGGATTTCTCGGTGTCTTATTGAGCAATATGGGATAGGTCCACCAATAATGCATGCACGGGGGTTTATAAGAGGGCTCGAGGGAATGCAATGTGCATATGAGTTGGGATTGCAATTACAGAAGCAAAGCAAGCAAAGTGTGAGGAGAGGAGAAAAGGATATCATTATGGTTAAAAAAATTCAGGTAATTTTAAAACTACAACCCTAGATCTCATATTCTTCTTCTTTTAAAGGTTTAGTGTTTCATCCACCGGTTTATTTATTCATTTCTTAATTTACGGTCAAAAAATTCATGTAATTTTATGATTATTGTCATGCTGTGAAATTTTGATTTATATGTTGTTACATACTTTGAAATAAGCTTTGGACCATTTTGGAACATTGTAAAGTTATAGGGACCATTTTGTAAACTTTGAGGAATTTAAGGATTAAGATGTAAATTATTAAAATTTGGTATACTATGTTGGAATTTAGTATTAGTGTGCTTAATTGGTTCAATTTTGAATGAATTTATAAGTTTAGGGATTAAATTGCAAAGTTTGAAAATGTTGAGAACCAAATAGTAAGTAGGAAAAGGTTATTGTATTAAATTAGAAAGTAAGGCTTGAAAATTCATGTGAGTGGAAATGATGAGTAATATCTGAAACGAAAATTAAGTAATAACCGATCTAAGTTACACCTGCAAAGGTTGATCGTTTTATCTTTGAAGTTTATTTTTATGATTTATTAAAGTAATTCCTTGCTATTGTTGAAAACTTGAATAAAACAATAATCAGTTGTTATAATGAAAAATACGTAAGTTCTTTTTCGTTTCCCATGTGAACTCCGTTTATTTTTCCCAACATATTAAATTGTATTGAGTGTAATATTTAATATTTTGTCTAGATTTGTTGAAACATGGCAGAAGAAAATGTTCTTTTGAGGCTAGATGGTTGACACTTTTCGAGTCATTTGGGAGAAATGGTAATATGATCGAATAATTTTTTTATTCGATAACGGTGAATTAATTCTACTTACATGGATTAACAAATTCTAGGATGGCGAACAACGAGTCTTTCGTCCTCGACTTATCAATTGTGAGATGCCATATCAACGTATCGTCGATAATTTGAAAATAGTCGGTTTTTATGATTTCGCTTTTGTAAGAGAATTTTGGTTGGTCCCCAGTTTGATCAGTGCATTAATTGAACGGTGGAGACCAGAAACTCATACTTTTCATCTTTCGTGTGGTGAATGTACGATCACTTTGGAGGATGTGGCTTTACAACTCGGTGTTCCTACAAATGAAATGGGAGTGGTGGGAAATACTGGTCTTAACGTGTTTGCAATATGTGAGCGTTACCTTGGGAAGGTACCACACAAAGATTTAACAAAAGGGTCACGACTGAGATTATCCTGGTTGGAAAATGAGTTTAAGCTCGATCCTCATTGTAGTGAGCAAGACATTATATATGCAACTCGAGCATATATATTATAGTTGATCGGCAAAATCTTGATGCCGGATAAATCCAGTAATTTTGTCCATATACAATATCTTTCGTTTTTGGATAACTTTTTATGACCCATCAGTATAGTTTGGGATCGGCAATATTGGCGTTCTTGTATCGCAAGATGTGCAAGGCGTCATTACTCGTAAATGATGCGTATACAACTGAAATCGGTGGATGCACGATGTTATTACAATCGTGGGCGTGGTACAAAATTCCATGGATAACACTGATTAGCCGAACTGCAATTGACTTTCCTCTTGTCGAAAGGTAATTTTTTTTATTTAAAATATTTGATCTTAAATTAATTAAAGAATATTTTGTAAAGGAAAAATAATTACAGAATTTTATTTTGATTGGTATACAGATGGAGACATAAAATAGAAAGAACTGGGTTGGCGCACAATAACGTGAAAGAGTTTAGGTTTAAGATTGACATCAAATGCAAAGTTGAGGTATATATAAAATTAATTAGAGAAATTATTTTTTATTATGTTTATATTATAATATTGTTCTTTATTTATTTTGTTGATTTGTATAATTATTTAATTAAATAATAACTATATAATTTTGTTTTGTAGTTTATTTAGAGGTCGTACGATGATGGAGAAATTATGTCGTGCGTACCACAACATGTCTGGGAGGGTTGTCAATATTGGTGTGCTGTTACACCATTGATCCATTTCGTATTTGTGGAGTTCCAATTTGCCGATAGAGTGTTGAGGCAGTTCGACTTCCACCAACCTATTCCAA